AGGGGATATAAATAATATGAAGAATATGAGCGGTGATCAGTTTATTTAAAAATCTTGGACTTTGACATAGAGATTATTGTAATTTCTCACAATTAGATTAAGAGAAAAAAAAAAAAAAGAGAGGAGAAATCTAAACAAATGTTTGTTCATAATTGATATGCCTCTTTGTCATCAGTTCTTCCATTTGCCACTGTACTTTCTTTTTCTTGACTTATGTGATTGTTGAACATGATGCAAGATCATGCATACTCAGTCTTTGCTTCATAATTATTATCTTCTCTGAATAGTTAACTAATTATGATTCTGTCATTATGATGTAACCAGGTTGGCTCTATTGAAGGGAGGGTTGGCGTACATCATCTGGATGAACAACAACAAAATAAAAACTTCACCTTTAAGTGCCATAGAGAGGGCAGCGAGATATACTCAGTCAACTCTCTGAACTTCCATCCAGTATGATTTTTCCTTTTTCATATATATATATTTCTGGATAATGTACTGAGGGGCTTAATAATGTTTGTATTTCTTCTGATGGATTACCTTGAACTTATGAAACCTCTTCGTTAATTTAGTGTTCTCATGTTTCAGTATCCTAGTTAAGAAAAAATCGCAGAGATTGTTTTCAACTTTGTCATTCATAGACTATGATGTTTTTGGAGAAGTATGGTATTAGTAATATTGGTACAGTCCTCACCTTAAGATTACAGGACTTGTATATTATTCTATCTATCATTCAGGTTTCAGATTTTTTTATATCAGTGGATTTATTGGCATATGCACGAATTTTAAAGTTTCCTTTAAATATATTTCAGTTTATTTTGTTCTATTACATGAGGTAACCTTAAGTGCATTTGGATCAGTGTTCTTTGTTTTACTTCAGAATTATGACTGGGAATGCCTAATTATGATATTTTCTATGATCAGTCCAAAACTTTTTTTCCAGCATTCATTGCCAATTCATTATGGTTCTTGTTAGGTTGTTCAAAGAAATTTTGGATAAATCTGTGTTTTCATGTTCTGTTACTATTATTTGTAATTTTAAAGCTAATTTGCGTCCCTTGTTTCAGGTGCATCACACATTTACTACTGCTGGTTCTGATGGTTCTTTCAATTTTTGGGATAAGGATAGCAAACAGAGACTGAAGGTTCTCCCACATCTATTTTCTATTTCTTTTGTCTTTTGTATTATGTGCTTCTCCAACTCTCTTGTTTATATGTTCGGTCAATGGCTGATCCTATGTTATATGCGTATAGGTGTCTAATACAACTTTTTTCTGATTTTTCAGGCAATGTCAAGGTGCAATCAACCTATACCTTGCAGTACGTTCAACAATGATGGTTCCATATTTGCATATGCGGTAATTCTCTTTCTTCATGATTGCACAACCAATATGAAGACTCTCTCTCTCTCTCTCTCTCTGTGTGTACTCACTTGCACCACCTGCGCACATAAATTCACAGCACTAACACATACCAAGGCAGACTAATCTATAGCAGTGTTTTCACAGCACACTCACACACACTACCTTGCGTCATGACTTCATTGATCTATAGGAATATTCTGAGGGTTCTCTTATACACTTTATGCTTAAATTTCCACTAAATTAGTATCATGCTCTACTTAAGATCATTCTCGACTGTTAATATTATTGATTCATGTGACTGAGTCATTGTGTAATGTAAATTTAGAAAAAGGGAAATACCATCCTAACTTTTCTGGGTTTCCTCTTTCAAATCTGGGGTCAGAAATGACTGGCAGTTGTGTACATGTATACAATTCATGTTCTGCAACTGGTTTAAAGTGGTAGAAGTAGTTATGTTAGATTACATTTTGGGAAACAGACTATGGTCAGCTAAACCTTTATGAGGAGAGGTCATTCTACTGTACACTATTATGGCCACAACTATATTATGACTTTATAGTAAACCATCCTTGAATATTTAGATTGTCGTTGTACCAAAATTTCAGGCAATGCTTTTTGTGGATGTATTTTTATATTAGTTACTACGATGATGATCAACCTCTCTGTAATCTCAATTTGTACCTCCAATAAACCTTAGCTCTAGACACTTGCTCGCCTTTAACTATTGTTTCTTTTTTCTCTTGTCGTGTGCCATTGTACAATGATGTTTCTTTGTGTACACAAGTGACTAATGGTGGTCTATGGTTACAATCTCTTAGAGTAATTAAATGGCTCGCATTACACCTTGGTTATCCTTTCTGTACAAGCCAATATGACTTGAAAACTGATTGCAAAAGACTCAAACGAACTCTCAACATATTTTCTTCTCATAATTTAAATATTGTATTGAAGATCTTTTCCGAACTTGTGTTTGCAGGTTTGCTATGATTGGAGCAAGGGTGCAGAAAATCATAATCCAGCTACCGCAAAGAACTACATTTTCCTCCATTTGCCACAGGTATATTCAGACAATACATTTCAACAATTTTGTTCATGATGGCCTGAAAATACTCAAGACTGGACGTTTATATATTTCTTTGTTTTCAGGAAGCCGAGGTTAAAAGCAAACCACGAGTTAACACTGGTGGAAAAAGGTGAAGCTGGTCGACCTGCCATGTCGGTTATGAGCTATTTCTGTATATGGAAGTTGTTAGTTACCAACGTATGAGCAAGGCTAGCCCCTCTGACAGACGTTTAGACAGGAAATTTTTTTTCCGGTCAGACACAGGAAGGTTCCTCTAGTCCTTTTTTTGAGTTTCCATTCCTAGTGAAGCTGCTCCCATCAGTTTGTTCTTAGACTAGGTTGTGCTGCAAATATTCCTTTCCTGGAGCTACAATGATATGACTGGATCTTGTTCTTTTGTTCCGAGAATTCAAAACCTTAAAAAGTTTTGGCTAAATTACAGTACTCTGATGTTTGTGCTTATTCTAATGCGACCTTACAGGTTCTAACATAGACATTTACCTCTACTACTACCGTTAGGTTCCTTTAGTTGAATTGTGTGTAGGGTCAAAATTAGCAAAATCATTATATATAAAAACTAAAATTTAAGTACTATGAAGGATTGTAAGCTCATACTGTGAAGTCTTTAACATAATTGTTCATTGTTAGCCCCTGCATGATAATACGAGTTTTTACATATATAAAAAGTTGCCAAAATTTAACTCAACCAACATTTAACTCATACTTTCATAAATGTCAATTTTTATAAAAACTTTCAGATATAGCATAAAATCCACTTAAATAGACACAAATACCCTCAAAATTAAAACTCACATAAACCTAAAAGTCATGGATGTTCTGCTCAAGTGTTGTGATGTTGTTGAGCCCTACCATCTTGAGAGGGCTCTTAGACAAATAAATTCATACTTAGATATAGTGATCATCATCAACAAAATCAATTGTGTTCGGACAACTTAGTAAGCGATTGTTGAATCTATGTTCATCCAGTAAATGCTTTTGTTATATTTCGGATCTTAGTATTGTATATCGTCATGATAGTTGAAATATTCATTGCATCCCTATCTTTCAGGGTGATCAAAATATACGAGTTTCACTAAACTCTTCGACATGTCTACCAACATAGTATTCTCCTTTTCAACAAGGTATTCTCCTCTTCAGAAAGTGCAATAAATGACCTTCAAGTTACTCCGAAGCAGCATGGTTACGTATTTCACAAACCACATCTAACTTCCAATCATACCTACCACCAATATTGACACCCTTTAATAAGAATGGGCATCCACATTTCATGTTACCAGTGTTCCTCGAATGCTTTTTCATATCACCATTTGCATCCGATCTTACACCATTTGTCTCATATTTACCGTTTCTCTCACAAGCCAGTGTTACTCGAGGTCTCTTCAACCTCTTGCCCTCAACTCCAGAATTAGACCTTCTAATAACAATTATGATATTATTCATATTTCCTTGTGCACGAGCCTATCTAAATAATGCATCTTTACTTTTGAATATCTACACATCACACCCATGTGATTTGAAATGTAATGCCACAGCCACTATCGTTACATGTTCCCACATTCTATGAACCAAAATGAGTGGTTGAATCAAAACAAACATTAGATCATGACCGTTGAATAATAATATTGCCTAGGATTTTTGTTTGAAAAATTGGGCAAAGTGAAAGCTTAAAAAATAAAGTCGCACTATATATATCTTTATCAACCTTTCCTTTGACTTTGAACTTTAACCAATTTGGTTACGGGTCTCGGTGGGTATGGTCTGGTGGTCACAATATTTCAGATTGAGAAATAACACCACAGCTCACAATTAATTATAAAGTTTGTCAATCTTCTCCTCTCCCATAATTTTTTTTATTTTTTTAAATTTTAATCTCAGCTCACAAGACAAGAATGTCCCTATCCTTCACAATTTCATTTGAAAGAAATATATGATAATGATCCTCCTATTTGACCACATATGAATGCTTTGTCAAAAACTTTTATTTCAATTTATTTTTCCATGATTGTTGCTGTCAAGATTTTCACACGAGCGATTTTCTTTCAAAGAAAGAGCATGATTAGGTAACCAAGTAAGGGTAAATTCAATGCATAGTTTTTATTTTAAATGTTCTTTTTCTTTAATGGTAATTATGTATAAGGATAAAATAGGTTATTTATGTTTAAAATTAGTGTTGGATAAAAAATAGAATTGATGGGTACCATAAACTTTATTTAGAAAATAAAGTTCCCTGCTAAAGAAAAGAACACGGAAAGGATTCAATGCTTAATTTTTTTTTTTATTCGTTTCATTAAAAACAAATTATTATTTTTTCCTAAATATAAATTTAAAAAATTATGTAATGGTTTTAATTAAAAACCATTGGCAAAGTATTGCAAATTCATTAGTTCATCCCTTTTGTGTCCATATCATGTCAAACAATTTAACTATAGCATTAATAAAAATTTTAGGACCCGTTTGATTTTTATTTTCACTTTTGTTACTATACTGCTTTTCAAAATTCAAATAAATTTTCAACCTCAGTTCACTGACACGCACAAAAATTGAAATTTATGATACGACCAATTTTGTAGATGAAGTCTTGGGCAAAGAAGAGAAAAGCACAAGAAACTTCCAAGACTTTCATCTCCTCTTCTCCCTGTCCCGCTCTCTCTTTTTCTCTGTCTTTGCGCCGTTACTTCGGGCCTGATTGGGAGAAAAGAAGGAGAGAACAGTTCGGAAACTCTGCGCTCGCTGCCTCTGTCTCCCTCGGAAACCGAACTGTTCGTTCGGTAAACCGACACGTCGGCGGTTCAGCTTCGGTTCCGAGAGGTACATGAGCCGCACATCTCTCCTTCTTTGGGCTCGGCCCCAAAGCTCCATCCGCGAGTTCCAGCAGTAACAAATCCGGAGACCGAGTGGCACCTTCAATAGCTCGAGTCGAGTCCAACCGGCCGGACATTCTCCTCCCAGCCTCAACTTCCACACACTAACACATGGGGTGCATGTTTTTCTTATGTATAAACTCTGCAGCGGACGAGGATCCAGAAGTCGATTTCACACAGCTCAGAAGGTTTTCCTTGCGTGAGCTACAATTTGCAACAGATACCTTTAGCCATACAAATATTCTAGGAAGAGGTGGATTTGGTACGGTTTATAAAGGACGTTTAGCTGATGGGACTCTGGTGGCTGTAAAAAGACTCAAAGCGAGGAAAACCCGAAGGGGGGAGCTACAGTTCCAAACAGAAGTTGAACTGATTACCATGGCTGTCCACCGCAATCTGCTTCGTCTGCGCGGATTTTGCATGACACAAACAGAAAGGCTGCTTGTATATCCTTATATGGCTAATGGAAGTGTAGCATCATGGTTAAGAGGTAGTCTTTTAAATTCTTTACTATGTGGATCATTCTATGTTTTCAATTATTTCGAATTCTTGATGTTGATCTTATTTCCGTCTAATTTGAGGATACCAAGATGAACAAGTTTTTGGGTTTGGGGAGTTATGGTGACATCACATGAACTACTCTGTAATTCTGCTTTCATGATTATGTCTATGCATTAATGTAGATCGTCCAGAATCACAGCCTCCTCTTGATTGGGAAAAAAGAAAACGCATCGCATTGGGATCTGCAAGAGGCCTTGCTTATTTACATGATCACTGTGATCCGAAAATTATTCACCGTGATGTGAAAGCTGCAAACATATTGTTAGATGAGGAATTCGAAGCAGTTGTTGGAGACTTTGGATTGGCCAAACTCATGGCTTCCAAGGATACACACGTTACCACAGCTGTACGTGGCACAATGGGTCATATAGCGCCGGAGTATCTCTCAACTGGAAAGTCATCAGAGAAAACTGATGTTTTTGGATATGGAGTCATGCTTCTTGAACTTGTCACTGGGAAGACGGCTTTACGTCTTGCTCAGCTTGCATATAATGATGAAGTATTGTTATTTGATTGGGTATGCGTTTACGTTTGTGTTGTTATTTGATTGGGTATGCGTTTACGTTTTTTTGTTTCTGCATGTAGCTAAATTAGTATACCTTGCAGATCTGATCACGTAGTTCCCTGTGAAAGTTTCTGTTATCTTGTTTTCCCTGTGGAAAGATTTAAAAAATAGTAATACTTGTTTAAACAGCTGACAAGTTCCGATTAGATTCATGTAGAAAACACTTGTAGGTGTTGGCAGAACAAGCTTAGAAAATAAGTTCAATTTAACTAGCTTTTACTCCTTTTTTCGCTTCAACTTACGAAACATCCTAACATTTTTTTTTAATTATAAATAAAATAAAATTCAGGTCAAAGGACTATTGAAAGATCGGAGATTGGAAGCACTTGTTGATGCTAATCTAAAGGGTAACTATATTATTGACGAGGTGGAGCAGCTGATCCATGTAGCTCTATTCTGCACGCAAGGCTCGTCAGGGCAAAGGCCCAAGATGTCAGAGGTTGTTAAAATGCTTGAAGGGGATGGTTTGGCGGAAAGATGGGAGGAGTGGCAGAAAGAGGAGATGGTCCGCCAAGACTTCAACCCTGTTCAACATCCAAGTACATATTGGATCATGGACTCTAGTTCTCAAATTCCACCCGATGAGTTGTCCGGTCCCAGGTGATGCACTCCTTGCTTCCGTCCTCTGTATATATGCAGACAAGTTTTTGTTCAGCAGATAACACCTTTGTGAAATTGTTTTTGAAGAATATAAAATACCACATAGGAGATTGGATTAAATAAAATACAACATATAATGAATGATTAATCCACTACTAATAGCACGGAGATCTTTTGTGATAAAACTCCACACCTACAAGGCTATGTAGGTGGTTAAGTTTGGTACAATATTAGTGTTGCTATTTTGTGGATTGCTAGTCCGTCTTTTTGAAATTTGACATATGTTTGTCTTTTCTCTTCTCTCATTTGCTTTTTTTTTTTTTTTTTTTCCCCACTTTATTCTTCTCTAATACCTTGTTTATATCACACAATGGAGCTAGTGCTGCTGTAATTTTTGTAGTGTTGTTTATGTCATCATTCTTATTTGGTTCAAACATTCCTTTTATAGTCTATGATTCAAATTCGTAGTTTTGTATTTTTTTTTTCTTTCTTCTTTTGATAATAATAATTTATGTATAAGTAAAATGTGCTTTTGATGAGAATATTCATGTAGTATTACAATTGTAATCTTGTGAAGTAATGTTTCGAACGTGTAATGTTTGTGTATGTGTGTGTGTGTTTTTTTTTTTGCTAGAAGAATTTGTGTTTATGGTACAATATGACAATATTCGTAGTGGTAGTAGCTACAATGTTGGTTTGATTAATATTAGGGAGTTATATCTTCGTTATAGTTTATGCTTTTGATCCCTTGTAGATTGATTTTTTTTTTTGTGTTTGTTGGTTATGACTTATGAGAATGATTTGATTCAATGTATTGTCACTATAGGGGCTGAATTTGTTTTTTGGGGTTGATATATATATTTTTTGGAACAGTATATTTGTTTATAGGGTTGATTCTGGCTTCGTTTAATTTGGGTATGATGGTTGGTTTCTTTATAAATAAAAAACATCTCAGCCAAATGCATTGTTGATGCACAGTGGATGAAAAAACAATGTGTGCTGTGGTTCTTCTACATTCCTAGAAGTGTAGTGTCTGTGTGTTTTTTTTCGTGTTTGGTTGTGGTTGTGGTTGTGGTTGTGGAGGGGGACTTGGTTTGGTGATTGTATAATGACTTAAAAGGACATTATATTGAAAATTTGACTTAGGGTTAATTTCATTTGGTGCCTTGCAATTGTACCCTTAAGGTAAGTTTGTGGGCACTTTCAATTTTCACAACCCTATGTAAATTTTAAGTGATGATGTGGTATACGTGGGATCCAATTTTTTAATGATAAAATGGACTAAAATATCAATAAGAAAACAAGGAGCAAGAAGAAAGGATGCAAGACAAGAAGGGCAAGATCAGTGAGCGCCACATCGCTCAGAAAGGGAAATGTGAAGTGCCATATATGTGTGGGCATAACTTCCTAGCAAAACCAATTCTAGACCCAAAGCAGACAATATCTTGAAAGTAAAACGGTGTCGTATTGACACCAAAAAAACAAAAAAGTGTCGTGACATATATCCTCCCTCAAAACCCAAAATTGATTATTAAAAAAAAAAAAAATTTGAACACTATTTGCATCTTCGGTTAGTGTTTTTTTAAATAACAAAAATTAATCTTCGGTTAGTGTTGATATTCTTTGAATGTCGAACACTGTTTCCATCTTTGGTTCTCTTTTGTTTTTTTAAATGGGAGCAAGCCTTACTTTTCCTCAAAACTTCTGTTAACACCTCCAGTTTATGAAAGCTAGCTCTCGCCAATCCCCAATGTCCAATCTTGTAATTATGAAGTTATAGCCAAATTAATGGATGACAATTTTCCCATCGGTAAGGGTCTTTGTAAAGCTTTGACCCTAAATGGATCAGGTTGGAATGATAAAAAAATAGATATGGGGATAGGTTTGGAGAATTTTTCAAGTATGGTGTTTGGGGAAGGATGGGGATGATATTCTAATTCCCGACTCAAATTCGCCTCTTATAGAATACATATATATAATTTATTTTTCATATAAATATATTATTAAAGTGATTGTGCCCACCAAATTTTGTATTGCATAATATTAAATTAATATATTTATGTAATTTATATGAATCTTGTCCTAGTTTTATTGTTTATAAATCTTCTAGCCGACATCCCAACGGGGTCTAGTACAGTTGGAAAAATGCCTAGACTTGCATACACAAGGTGTTATGTTAGAATCCCCGTGTCATCTTGGTTGTGTAATAGGGCAGGTCCCCAATGAAGGAAAGGATAGACAATCCCCAATTTGAATATTGAGGGTATGAAGACGGAAGTGAAATGCTTAATGGGGATAGAGATGGGAATAGAATACCCACCCTCGATTCGATGAATTGCCATTATAAGTTATAACACACATCATAGATCATGATTCATGAGTTCCCAGACACCTATTTAAGCCCTCCCTCCACAACCCCAAAAAAAAAAAAAAAACAGAAAAAACTATACACTTCTACGAATAGCACACATTGTTTCTCCATTCACCCTGCATGAATTTTGCATTGCTGAAGGATTACATTCGAATCATAGACCATAGCTTGGCCACAAGTAAGAATGAACCAGAAAGGAATGATGAAAAGGTAATATGTATGGTAATGGAACACCTTAATTTTAATACAAAATTATTCTGCAATGCAGGAAATAAAGATTTATTTATTCGACAATCTTGACTAATTTCCGGGTACATAAAAATTATAAGGAATGGGTGCTTTTATGGCCCTTACTAGTTCCTGCCGTGTTGCTAGCACAATAATTTCATAATGCCAGTTAACAACCCTATAAAATTACAGCAGCACCAGCTCCATTGTGTGATATAAACAAGACGTTAGAGAATAATAAAATGGAAAACAAAACCAAATAAGAGAAGAGAAAAGACAAACATATACACAAATGTGGTATTGCTGAAATACAAAATGGGCCTTGTCAATTCCTGAAGGCTTCTTACACGTATACAGAGGACGGAATTCAGGAGCGTATCACCTGGGACCGGACAACTCATCGGGTGGAATTTGAGAACTAGAGTCCATGATCCAATTCGTACTTGGATGCTGAATAGGGTTGAAGTCTTGGCGGAACATCTCCTCTTTCTGCCACTCCTCCCATCTTTCAGCCAAACCATCCCCTTCAAGCATTCTGACAACCTCTGACATCTTGGGCCTTTCCCCTGGGGTGCCTTGCGTGCAGAGTAGAGCTACTTGGATCAGCTGCTCCACTTCGTCGTCGTTATAGTTACCATTTAGATCAGCATCAACAAGAGCTTCCAATCTCCGATCTTTCAACAATCCTTTTACCTATATTTTATTTTATTTTATTTTGAAAAAATAAAGGTTAGGTAGTTCCAAAAGTTGAAAAGAAAAATATGGTACCAGGTACAGAACAAATGTGCCTGTAATGTTTGAACATGAAAGCGTGTAATGGACCAAAGTAGTTTGGTAAGATAACCTAATATAATGGACCAAAGTAGTTGTCACTTTCAAACAATCACAGTAAGGCCAACCAACAAGAACAAAAATTATAACGATAACAACAAATAATAGTAATATAATATATATCAGTGATTATACAAATTATATTAATAACAATATAAGTGCTAAAATAACATTATAATTAATCTCTAATAGATAAAACTTAAATGTTGTAAATAAAGCTAAATAAATACTTACAGCTAAAATGTACTTCCAATTAGTAAAAGCTAATCAAATTGAACTAATTTTCTAAGCTTTTTCTGCCTACACCTAAAGTAAATATAATTTTTTCTTCTTCCGTCCATCATTGTAACTGTTTTCTACATTTGAGCCAAAAAGGACAAGTCTGTTCTACATTTTCTACATGAATCCAACAGGAACTGGCCAGCTGTTTAAATAACTATTACTATCTTTCAATTATTTTCAGGGAACTACCTAAAACAATTACAGAAGCTTTCACAGGGAACTATCTAATCTGCATTGAATTAGCTACATACAGAAATAGAAAAACGTAAATGCATACCCAATCAAGCAACATCACATCATCATCATTTGCAAGCCGAGCAAGATCGAAAGCCCTCTGCCCAGTGATAAGTTCAAGAAGCATGACTCCATATCCAAAAACATCAGTTTTCTCTGAAGACTTTCCAGTTGAGAGATACTCTGGTGCTATATGACCAATTGTGCCACGTACAGCTGTGGTAACATGCGTATCTTTGTAATCCATGAGTTTAGCCAATCCAAAGTCTCCAACAACTGCTTCGAATTCCTCATCTAACAATATGTTTGCAGCTTTCACATCACGGTGAATAATTTTCGGATCACAGTGATCATGCAAATAAGCAAGGCCTCTTGCAGATCCCAATGATATGCGTTTTCTTATGTTCCAATCAAGTGGAGGCTGTGCTTCTGGACGATCTACAATAATTCATAGACATAATCATGAAAGCAGAATTACAGAATAGGTCGTGTGATCTCATCATACCTCCCCAAAGAAAAAGAAAAAAAAGAATTTGTTGATCTTGGTATCCTCAAATTAGACAGAAATAAGATCAACATCACAAAGGTAACTTAAAACTGAAAAAATAATTTATTGAATCAATGTATTTGAAATAATTTCTTAATGTCAAGAAAAAAAATAGATTCATCAACATAGCAAAGAATTTAAAACACTACCTCTTAAACATGATGCTACACTTCCATTAGCCATATAAGGATATACAAGCAGCCTTTCTGTTGGTGTCATGCAAAATCCACGCAGACGAAGCAGATTGCGGTGGACAGCCATGCTAATCATTTCAACTTCTGTTTGGAACTGTAGCTCCCCGCCTTGGGTTCTCTCCTCTTTAAGTCTTTTTACAGCTACCAGAGTCCCATCAGCTAAACGTCCTTTATAAACCTTACCAAATCCACCTCTACCTAGAATATTTTTATTGCTAAAGGTATCTGTTGCAACTTGTAGCTCACGCAAAGAAAACCTTTTGAGCTGTCCCAAATGAACTTCTGGATCCTCCTCCGCTGCAAAGTGTATAGATCAGTGAAACATGCATCCCATAATACAACATGATCCTGATCAAGTTAAATTATTCTTTTATAATTGACTAACCAGGTACATCAAAGAAATGATCCTGTGGTTTTCTTCGTCGCCACCAAGCAAGTGCAATTGCAGGTGCAGCAAATAGCAAAGCAGCACCGGCAGCAACCCCTCCAGCAATAGCCCCAGTAGCAGTGCTACCTAATAAGAATCATCAGAGTTAAGCAAAAGGTTTATTTGCATGACATGAGCCAGAACCTAAATGAAAAATCATTAACATTAGATGTTATATAATGAAAAATTATCAAAGTCAGATG